ACGGAACAGGGTAACACTATATGCCCCGGCCATTACATGGCGGGGGCATAAAAAGGGGCATAATTCTGTCAATATTGTAGGCAGAGTTATCCAACTTGTCAATCTGATGTAACTTGTTACTATAAATAAGTATTGTAAGTTTCAATTGAATATCTCAAGTAATAATTGAGATATTTGACTTTACAAAAAACTTTAACCAACGCAGACGCCGACGCGGACGCTGGGGCGACTACAATAGCTCTCATATTCTTCGAATAGTCGAGCTAAAAATAAAGAAACGTACGGCTAGCCAAAAGTTCTAGTCGTACGTGACTGCCAGGACGCACTGTATTGTCTAGCCGTACGGCACTTTTCAAAATTATATGGAAGTCGAACTTTATAAACTTGTAGATTTTCATGCTTATCATTTGTTGTTTTATTTGTATGAAAGATGAATTATTAAATCATTTGTGTTAATTTAAAGCAATGGATCAAATAAAAAATTATCGGAGTGGAATAAATAAATAAAAAGAACATTGAAAACAAGAGGGCCATGATGGCCCTGAGGTCGCTCACCTGTATATAGGCCCCCCAACCCCCCCCCCCCCAACGTTGCAGAGCCAATTTAACCCAAGGGCTTTTATTTGCACAAACTTGGTAGACACCCATAAGAAGATGTTTCATGCTAAACATTTAAGCTCTAGCTCATTGGGCTTTTTAAAAGAAGATTTTTTTAAAGTTTTTACTATACACATATAGTTAAAAACAATGACACCCCTGGGGCCGGGCCAGTTTTGACCCCAGGGCTTTTATTTGAACAAACTTTGTAGACACTTACTAGAAGATGTTTCATGCTTAATATCTAAACTCTAGCTATTTGGGTTTTTTCAAAGAAGATTTAAAGTTTTTGCTAAACACATATAAAGAAAATCAATGACCCCCGGGGTGGGGCCAATTTTGACCCCTGGGCTTGTATTTGTACAAACTTGGTAGGCACCTATTAGAACATGTTTGATGCTCAATATCTTAGCCATAGCTCTTTGAGTTCTTTAAAAGAAGATTTTTTAAGTTTTTACTATATGCATATAGGGAAAATCAATGACCCCCCGGGGCGGGGCCAATTTTCACCCCAGGGCTTTTATTTGAACAAACTTGGTAGACACCCATTAGAAGATGTTTCATGCTAAATATCTTAGCTCTAGCTCTTTGGGTTCTTTAAAAGAAGATTTTTTAAGTTTTTACTATATGCATATAGGGAAAATCAATGACCCCCCGGGGCGGGGCCAATTTTGACCCCAGGGCTTTTATTTGAACAAACTTGGTAGACACACACTAGAAGATGTTTCATGCCAAATATCTAAGCTCTAGCTCTTTGAGTTCTTTAAAAAGAAGATTTTTAAGTTTTTACTATATGCATATAGGGAAAATCAATGACCCCCGGGGCGGGGCCAATTTTCACCCTAGGGCTTTTATTTGAACAAACTTGGTAGACACCCATTAGAACATGTTTCATGCTAAATATCTTAGCTCTAGCTCTTTGGGTTCTTTAAAAGAAGATTTTTTAAGTTTTTACTATATGCATATAGGGAAAATCAATGACCCCCCCGGGGCGGGGCCAATTTTGACCCCAGGGCTTTTATTTGAACAAACTTGGTAGACACTCACTAGAAGATGTTTCATGCCAAATATCTACGCTCTAGCTCTTTGAGTTCTTTAAAAGAAGATTTTTTAAGTTTTTACTATATGCATATAGGGAAAATCAATGACCCCCGGGGCGGGGCCAATTTTCACCCCAGAGCTTTTATTTGAACAAACATGGTAGACACCCATTAGAACATGTTTCATGCTAAATATCTTAGCTCTAGCTCTTTGGGTTCTTTAAAAGAAGATTTTTTAAGTTTTTACTATATGCATATAGGGAAAATCAATGACCCCCCGGGGCGGGGCCAATTTTGACCCCAGGGCTTTTATTTGAACACACTTGGTAGACACTCACTAGAAGATGTTTCATGCCAAATATCTAAGCTCTAGCTCTTATGGTTTTTTAAAAGAAGATATTTAAAGTTTTTTCTTTCGGTTGCCATGGCAACCAGAGTTTTGCATGGAATTAAATTCTTTGAACAATTTTTAAAGGTGACCACCAAAGGAACATTCCTGTGAAGTTTAGATGAAATTGGCTTAGTGGTTTATGAGGAGATGTCATTTAAAGTAAAAGTTTACGGACGGACGGACGGACGGACGGACGGACGACGGACGGACGACGGACGGACGCCGGACGAAAAGCAATCACAAAAGCTCACCCTGTCACTTTGTGACAGGTGAGCTAAAAACCGGTGAAATGCAAAAATAATTATATAATTTTCAAAACAGTAGATAAATATCGAACATATAAGCACAGTCAATCAATTAATTAGCCTTAATTAAAACCTATCCAGGGACTGACAATAGAATTTTAGAATGCCTTTCACGGAACATGCAAACGTTCCTTGATGGACAAACTTCTATACAGTACCGTCGGTAATTGTCGCAATTATCAAGAGCCTAACAACAATCATTTTTAGTGTTTGTTGTTTGTTTTTTTCATATTAAAGGTGTCGAAAATTAAACTTAATGAAACAAAAAAGGATTATGATCAAAATTTTGTAAACTATTTCAATTGGTGTAAATCAGTGTTATCTATGTCTCTGGTGTAAATGCAACCAAAGGCTATTTTTTTCTCGACATCTTGCGATGACAAAGATCGATATATAGCGATCAAGGCGATGAATCTCTAAAAAGTTTACACCCGAAGACAATTAATGCTGTTTCTTGGTTAAAATCCTCGCTTAAAGTCATAAAATAACATATGCATTTTCGACTTCCATAAAATTTTGAAAAATGCCGTACGGCTAGCCAATACAGTGTGTCCTTGCTAGTCGTACGTGACTCACGTACGGCTAAAACTTTTGGCTAGCCGTACGGGCCCGTACGCTAGCCACTTCCATTATAAAAACCCTACTAAACGTGTTCTTAATAGTACATATCATTAAATTTTTGCAGTTCGATTCTGACTTTCAAATTTAAAGGTGTGAACATATGTTATAATTGATGTACACATTTCAAAAAAATAAGCAACTCTTTTGAAATGTAAATTGTTAACATGTCTGTCAACATATGATGCTGCGCATCGTAATCGTAGCCTAATATTAACTGCAGGCAAAACATTTTTATTGGCTGCTCAAAAATCTAATTTGCATAATTTATTCACACAATAGCTGGTTCTTACTACTTGTGTCTAATACTGCGCATTGTCCATTTTAATTGTTCCTAATTTGCACCAAATGTTCTTGTCACACTGTGTACTGACGATTTTTATTGCTCCTTGTGTGCCTCTGTGCCGAAAGACCTTTTGATCATGCACAATGTTGCCCTGATTGGTTAATCACCCTTGTCAAATATTCTAATGACGAAATAGACATGTATTTTTTTTACGCTTCATCAGTGAACTGAATGACCTTAGGGGGAATTAGGTTCCACACCTGTCAAATTATACTGTAAATTACAGCACGTCATAAAATAGCAACACATTTTTTTTCAGTTACCAATAATCATTTTAAATATTAAGTAGATTTATGATTTTTTGTTTTATTGGATTAAATTTATGGTAGTAGAAATGCGTATCTGTCGGGGAAAGGAATTTGGTAAGTAAATAACGTGGAAAAAAGCTTTAGGGAACTGGATAAACCCGAGAATATGCGTGATTATGGGGGGGGGGGGGAATGGGCAACCTGTTGCTACCAGTTTTGACTTGGGGCCTAAATAACCTAGCGGACAGTTTTGTTTTCATACGATATTAGTCTGGCTGCCGATTTTCCTGCGCCATTCTCATTTATAGCGTCAATGGCAGAAAATCGCGTCTGCATATTGGATTTAGTTAATATTTTACCTGATGTACCCTATTTGGACAGCTTGTCTAGCGAAAATTAAGTACAAAATAAAAGGATTTATCGTCAATTTGAAGAAGTTTCTCATAGTACCCAAATTAAATTTATGGTTTATCTTTGAAAATTAAGCAGTCATTGCTTAAATCATGTGGTGGGATCATCAGCAAGCTTGAATATCGGACATTCACAAATAACAATTAATGTCGCGGCGTCTTCAATTAATTAAAGCAATTCAGTTCCATATGATGTTTTCATAAATAATATATAATGTACGCAATAAAATTAAGAATTTCTTCATCAAGATACATTTCAGTTGTACCAGTGTGTACACCTATACCGGAAGTGGGTGTAACACGTCACAATCTCGGTCTCGTCTGTCCTGCGAGAATGACAGAACGCCAAAGTGGCGGCGCCCATGAACTTATTTCTCAAGTAAAAAATAGTGTCTTAAAACACGAATTTCTCTCTTATAGGGTTAATGTCAATAGGAAAACTGTCATGGTTCCTCTTTTTAAATGATGAATATTTATATTAGACAGACATCAATCCATCCATTCCTATTCCTTTAATATTTAGGTTTGTGTTATCACTATTTATTGTAATTATTTATAATACACGGATTGAGCTAAAAAATGGATATCTTTATTTTTATATAATACTGAAACTTGTGTTATTTTAAATGGATTTTTATCAAAGTTTTTCAAAGTTAAACGAGGTTGTAGACAAGGCGATCCTATTTCACCTTATATCTTCATTTTATGTGCAGAGATTTTAGCAATAAAAATAAGACAATGTAAAGATGTTAAAGGTATAAATATAGATGGGGAGGAATATAAAATTACACAATTTGCTGATGATACTTCACTTTTGCTAGATGGATCAGAAAATTCCCTTAATACTGTTTTAAAGTTATTAAACACGTTTTCAGAAATTTCAGGATTGAAAGTAAATTTTGATATATATTTTTGTAAAGTGGGCCGAGTTGACCCGTGCCGAGTTGGTATAGGGCCGAGTTGACTCTTTTCCGTGGCAGACATTCAAATAACGTCAATAATATTAGTTGCGGAAAAAATCTTTACTTTAAACTTAGATACATACCACCAAACGACCTAGACCCGTCCCTTCCAGTTGTTACTCGAAATTCGGCCATATTGCATCTACTCCGTCTCGTGAAAGTGACTTGTCTAATACACTGTATAGGGTATACGGTACGGTACAAAGGTATAAAATGGGAAAGGACCCTATTCCGCGGAAGGACTATTTTCTTTTTTATTTGTAATTTCAAATATATCCAGTAAAAATATTTGTCAGGTATTTTTAATAAATAAACTTATATCACTCCCAAATTCAATTACTCTAACGAAGTGTGCTGCGTGGGATTTAATACTCACTAATAGGGTCACTGGCAGAATGAATAAATTTATGATTTTGTAAAATGTTACTATACTGTACATGAAGTGAAAATTTCAACACACAACAGTTTAGGTAGGCGGAGTGTTATGATATCATAAACGCCATATATATTCAAAGCATGTTCCCTTTTCAGAGCATAAAATTTTATCTGTAAGATATTTATTTAAAGATATATTATGGTCAAATCTGATATTAGAAACAACAAGTATTTTTTTTAAAAAGGACACTCGGTCAAAGTAAAACTGATTAACTTGCATATAAACATTATAATCCATCAACCACATTAATTGTGCAAAAGTTTATTTAATTTATTTAGAACTTTATCCTTACATTTTATTTTATAATGGCAAGAACTATCCCTTAGATTTTTATAACTATCCTAACACAATCTCGATCCTACACAGTGATCTCCCCTTAATCAGTACAGAGATTACAATTCTGCCAAGGGAGGTAATCACTGTGAGGAGTTTGATCCTAACAATGACGAGAACTATCCTTTACGTTTTATATTAGAATAGACTATGAGATCCCCAGATTTCAGTTTATAATTTTAAAACGACTCACAAAAATTCTTCTTATATTAAGTACATTCGTGAAAATTTACAGGAAGTCAAACTGATTGTAGATTGCCTTCGGCCATATAACTAATAACTAGTATACAGTCTCTTTTGAAATGAAAAACAAATATCTTTTGAACACACACGGAGAAAATATGTTGAAACTCTATACACTGCAGGTAATCACACTATGATTACTGTTACAGATTGCATATAGTGACATTAAAAACGGGCAGTTATTATAAGAATAGACCAAATTAATTTGACAAGTAATAGGGAATGCAGCTTCCAAAACTGAAATTAGATATATTCAGGAAGAATTTACCAGATTTCAATTTCTGCAAAAAAGCATTTTACCCAAAGATGAGCATAGTGTATCTTAAAAAAATGAAATCAGAATATGTATTATATATTTCTCACCATCGCCATCCATTCAAGCAGTTTTGAAAAATCAATCTTTAATAAAATCATTGTAAAATTATTGAACGCATTAATTCATATATACATTCATTGCGCGGATATAGAATTATAAACAGAAAAACGTTTTTGGGATATCCAGTACATAAGAACAGTTATTTCAAATAAACATTATTTATGTTTAAATAAAATACATGCATACGTTCTATATATATAATTATATAAAGCTTATTCCACCAAAATATGAAATATATTTTAAAACCCACATCTAAAAAGATCAAAACATTTAGATATACAAATGTATATAATGCATGTAGATGAACACGTTTCTGTGTGTATTTCATTTGGGACAAACAAATAATTATTTTGGTCCCAGATTTAACCCTTTACTTCATGAGCATATTGTGAAAAATGGCCATTTTCATTGAAAAGCCTCTTGTTACAAGTTCAAACTGCTATGAAAGTTCTATGAAAAATGCTTCAATAATGATGAAACTTGGCACACATGTTGACTGGACCATAGCCTTTGTAACAGCATGCTCAATCTTAAATTTCCTGTTACCATGGCAACGGGGGGATGTCTCAAAATTGCCAAACATCACTTTGCATTGTTTTTTTCCATCACAACTGATTTCAAAGTGCTGCAACTTCTCAATGGACTGAGATACAGTAAAAGGCTTTTCAACGTTGGTTACACGTTACCATATGATCGACCTGAGGCCAAAATTTTCTTGGCAATTAGGGGGACTGCCGCCCCCTTCTGACTCCCAAAAATAGAAGGGATCATATCCCCCTTCTGGCAACCCCTTGATGTACCTTTTTGATAGGGACAGCGCCGAAAAAAGTGATCACCTTTTTTATCAACATTTCTCAAACGAAAAACAGTGTTTGTGCCTTAATAGGGCATTTTTTCGCTGTTTGAGGCCTCAAAAAAGGGAGGGGGCGAAAAACTGTCAAAACACGTCTATATACGATCGAGTAATTTTGACGTTAAGAATTAATTCAAACGCTATTATAAGAAAAAATACTATGTAAGTGAAATGTTAGTTTTCGTAATTTCATTCGAAATATAATTTAAAAGTAAAATGCAAGAAAAAGAATCATACGTCTCGGGGCAACTGTTTACTGGGAACTTGGCAGCGACCTCTGGTCTGTACTTTCAGCCGTTGCAAGATCCTCATATTATATCATATATATATACGTATGTTCCTGATGGTGCTTTGTTCCATATTTTATTAAATGAATGCTATGCTTTTGATGTTATACCGAAAATTCAATAGCAAATGAAACGTCCATTCTGATTAATCAAAAGCAGTATAAACATCGGACCACTTGCCTATCTCCATGACAACTACAAGCTTGACAAATCACATAATCAGATAAACAAAGAGTGTGAAATACCATTAATGTTAAATTATATAATTCGCAGCCAAATAAATATAAACCGAAATCCATTCTGACACGCTCTGGGTATAATGTTTCAAGATTACTTCAGTGGTTTCATGTAATGCCTTTATGCATTTAATTAGTATGTTTGTTCGTTTGGGTTTTACGTCACACCGACACAGTATAGGTCATATTGCGACGTTCCAGCTTTAATGGTGGAGAAAGACCTCGGGTGCACTTATGTGCATTATTTCAGACACGAAGGGGCACCCGAGTAGAACCACCGACGTTCCGTTAGCTAGCTGGATAGCTTCCTCACATGAGCGAATCCAAAGTCCCTGTCGCGATTCAAACCCACTGCGGTGAGGAACAAGTAGTTTGAAGTCAACGACCTTAACCACTCGGCCAAGGACACCCCTTAATTATTATGTTATAGAAATATAATCTTATTCTTGTTGAGTTCATTTGAGCAAACGAAATACAAAAGCGTAACTATGTACAGCTTGTCCTTTCTATCAAGTGTCCCTTCATCTGACAGCTTGTTATTTCAGAAAGGAACAGTGACTTCATCAACACATACTTTGAAGAAGAAAAAATGTTCAGGGATGTAATTCCAATGTTTCCCAAAGCGTTTAGCTCTTAGGACCTGTGGCGTTTACGTACGAAGAGATGTTGTAATTTAATGGTCTTGCATGGGCAGGTGTTATTATTCTTCGTCTCAAGTTTGTCTTGGAAGGTTTCAACATCTTACCTGACACTTTACTTGATATGATGTTCCTGCATCCCATTCTAGCAATATAAATGATCTTAACTTGGTGCACACTTAGTTTATAAATTATTGCTAGATCATACCACGGATCATAAATATAAATCCGAGCTAATACAGGCAATATCATTGTGGGTTGGTATGTACATGTACGTATCAATTTAAAAAATCAACTTTGAAAGTAGTTTAAATATTTTTTGTTTATAAGCTTAATTGCGCATTTGAAAAAAACAACTTAAGACTATCTTTGGGTGGATATGCATATTTTGAAATACAAAAATTAAAAATACACGTATATTGATTAGAAAGTGTTGGTTTCTCGTTTAGGACAAACGCTTTCGTTTACTTGGGTATCACATACCGCTTTTCATGGAATGACACTACAATGTCACATTGAAGGTTCAATGATAACCACCGTATGAACACATCTGTGGATGTTTCTAAATTCAAAATTTTACCATCTTATGTTTAAATGTTGAATTCTGCTAGGGGCGTGGACGGTAGTTTACACTTTACAGTACCGTCCATGAACAGGCTCAATCAACAGTGTCAATTTTGCCGTGTTGGGCTTTCTTTAGGAATTCTTATTTTCTCTATTTCATAACTATTAAACACATTTTTTAATCTAAATATATTAGCAATAAATTCACATGTAAAATACCTCGTGTTGCGCGATAGATAGCGTGGCCGTTGGTTGTTGTAGTTTCTTATGCTAGATGTACATGTATTTATCTTATCTTAAAAACAATTAACTACTGTTCCATAACTTTACTGAGTAAAGTTTCGCTTTTGTTGTTAAACTCGATTAATTCTTTGAAGAGATTTGCATTTATAGATACACTGCACATTCTTTTTCAATCTTGGATAACCCTCTCTCTTGCTTGCATTTCATGTAAACACAATTTTTAATACTGCATAAGATTTTATTAAAATTGAATAAAATAAAAAAGTATAAAATATATATACTCAAGTAATCTGCAATGTGCCTTGGTGTATGCGACTCGCATTTATTTTATTTTTATGGTTTATTTTAACTATAGGAGCCACGCATACAGCTTTTATCAATGTCTTTTCAGACGTGACCTTGTATTGCAAAACCGACACCTAAATTCCAGTCAGTTTAAGATGAAAAAGAAGCAATATAATTTATACTTTAGATGTTCTTTTTTGTGTTTGGACAATGGAATTTCGTACGGTGAACCGCTAATATACTTGGTGATTTAAGCAACATTATTTTAATGTGAGCATCTTTATTCAGGCGCATAAAATCGTATAGCTAATGAAACCCCTGTCATAATATTGTAAAAAAAAATAATAAAATGAAAGATTATTCTTTCTCGACCGTAGTTTAATTAATCTTTATGATAAACAGTCGAAATGAAGCATAATTTTTATATAGAGCATAAAAGTGCTCTATTATCTATAAGCTTCATGAATAAGGTCGTGTTTCAGATGTATAGGTTCATTGATACAAAATATGAGATTGTCACACCAAATAACATTTTGTTTGTCTTATTAATAATTGCAATATATAATGGCATAATGTTATTGAAAGCAGTCAATACAGAATAAAATTACATAGTTCATTAATACCATTTAACTGAAAACATTTGCTCCATTACATGCGTCAAAATATATAACACAGTATTACTGATGACTTAATGCTCTACTTTTTACGTTGTTTACAGTCT